TTTGTACATTATTTAAGTAAAATTACATTTATAAAAAGTGATTCTTCTACCTTTTGAATAATTCATGAGCTACATGAAAATTCCCCGTAGTACAACTTCGAATAACTTCACTACTTTTCTTCGCATATAAATATAATTTTGAATATGAATAATCGGATTATTCAACACAAATGCTCAAGAAATACAGACAAAGGACTGCGAAAAACAATTAATCTCTATTATAAAATACAATTTAAATCGTGTACATGAAGAACCATGGTAATTATAAAGCTAGGAAGAGCTTACAGTAATTATGCAAAGTGAACGATTATTCTAAATTATGGAGATTAAGTACTATATATCTAGGGAAAGTAATCTTTACACACACACACACACATATAAATATATATATATATATATATTTAAATATATGTATGCATACATATGTACATATATACATAATTATTGGAGATGGACTTGGTGTCGAATCGTACAAAAAACTTGTTTTGACTGCTGATTGATTTTCATTTTCAATTCATTCAGTAAAAACGCTTTTACTCACACACACACACACATATATATATATATATATATATATATATCTTAATTGCAATGCTTCTAAAATAGTTCTAGAACTCAATTATTATCCATTCTACACTTTGATGTCAAAACGTAAAGAGTAATTGTATATATTATAATTTATAAAATAATAAATAAGATTATGATAAATTAGTGTACTTATTGATTGATTGATTAAATAACATAAATATATTTGATTTAGCCATTTAGCTTTGCTTCATGTTTCAATAATTATATTTAAATTCATTTATATTTTTAATTGAATGATGTTGATATACAACTTAAAAGGTCACTTATAACAAACATCTCCATTTATGGAATTAAATTTTTGTGGCATACTGCAAAAAGTATTTCATCTAAAAAAGTGATATATAAAACACTTTAGCAGAACTAGCACATATTCAATTTGATTTATAGTTTAAAATTTCAATTGCCATTAAAAATTCCTCAGCCGATTTCCAAGAAAATATAGTTAAATTTAACAAGTTTATTACCAAAATAAGTACGTAAAAACGACAAGTATGAACTTTTAGTGAAATTTCTTAATATATTATAGTTATTTTAGTTCAACTTAACCCAGAAATTATTTTAATTATATTTAACAAGCCTGTACTTATAATAATGAATATAAATTTCACTAATATTAAATTTCTGTCATCATGAATGTAGTATTAAAAATACTTCTAGATTTCATATGGATTAATATACAAAAAACTAATTTTAATTTAAATACATAAATATATGATATTGATTTACATATTACCTAACTGAGTTGATACCTGAGTAAGAATATAAAATAGTAAGTAGTATCAGTATTTTTTTTCTATACATTGATCAGCAGGCAGAACGAACTAGGTATCCTATAGGATGTTGTTTTCTATTTTCCAAGAAAGTACCAATTAAAATTTAAATCCTTATATTTCAAAATCATTTACATTCATACAGAATATTTTTAATTGCAACTGGCAATTAAGTTCTCAACTAAACAGAGCTGACCCAGTTACATCACATTCGCTGTCGCGAAATAAAAAATATTTCATCCGTTCTTATTTCCGCTCCGTGGACTGAGGTGTTTCTTTTTTAACTATTTTACTTCATTCCACAATACAAGCTAGAATCCTCTTAGAAGGACTAATGAAGCTTTGGACCTATCCGCAGCGGCGGGGCGATACGTTACAAAAGAAAGGAGCGCCGCAAGCCCGCACGAGCTTTGCTTTCGCTGCGCCAGTACCGGCGGTGGCGGTGGCTGGAGCTTTTCACACGCAGAGCTTTTGAATTATTAGTAAGGGCGACGGCCGGAGAAAGGAAGGCGGTGGAGAAAGAAAAATGCTATGCAGCGGAAAATTGTTGTGATATATTTATGTTATGAGCTGATCAGATAGTAGAAACAAAATAATGTAAAGCTCTGATATATAAGTTTAAAAATTGTAAATGACAAACAACTACAATTACGGAATTGGACTTTTGAGTACCCATACATGAATAATTTCGTATAAACAACATATTGTGTGATACACTTTATCAAAACTAGTATCTGTTCATATAGATAAGTTTTCAGATAGTCCATTCGAAGCTTAGATAAACCACTATAATAACCAAGGCATTTAGCTTTCTTTCATCTTCGAATAATTATATTCAAAGTCATTTATATTTGTATATTTTGTATAATATTGACATATAACCTGAAGACTATGTATAACAAACATCTCCATTTATGAAATTAAATTTTTATGGCATATTGCAAAAGTTTTTCATCTAAAAAATGATATATAATACACTTTATCAAAACTAGCATCTATTCATATACAGGAATAACCAAAAAACTATTTGGAAACTCATTCATATCATTCATTTATATAGTTTAAATTGCTCATTTGGAGCATAAACATTGAAAATATTGAATTCAATTGAAATTAAATTGAATACGTCCATTATTTTGAGGGAATATTTTAGCAAGGCCCATCATTCAAAAGTTTGATGTATTTTAATGATTAAATTCCATTCGTAGGACTAAAAAAAATTTTGAATGTCCGAAAAGGATATGAACTCTATCACTATACAAGTTTCATCCAAATCGTCCACATTGTTTACAAAAAAACGATCCGAAAATTTTTGCAAGAGTTCTAACTGCTATATTCAATCAGTTTTCAATTATTCAAAATGAGTTTAGAATTTTTGGTTGAAAAGTTTAATGAACTGCTAATTATTAATTCTTCTGATACATATATATATATATATATATATATATATATATATACGAATGTATACATGTTTAAATCAAGCAGCTTATCAATAAATAATAAGCAAAGTTAAGAGTTACAATCGTCATTCCCAATTTGTTGTTTCAATTTTGCGGTTTTCTTTGATACTTAACGAACAAATTTACGGACGAATACAGGTGATCTAATAGAAACATTATAATCCATTATGGAAACCCTTATCTTTGAGTATGCAAATGTTATACGAGCTCGCGGTAAAGAGCTAACAGAATTATACAACCCCAATTCTAAGAGGAAATTTCCAAGATAATCTTCTAGAATAATCTAATTCTGTTGTTATCGCAAAGAAGAGAGTAGCTGGAGATCCTTAAAAAAGTTGCATGGCGACAGAAAATAGAGTAGTTGCTGCCATACAATTGAAACCACGGTGACAAGAAAACTTTTAATTAGCAAATAACTATGAATATCGCTTGGTATATAATATATAACTTCTTAGTATATAACATTTTATTTTTAATAAATGACAAATTTTTATTACTTACATATTTATAAAAGTGGATCGAAGGAAGTAGTTAACATAGCATTATGATTCAAGTAACGTTTATATTCATTTATTGTTTCGCTTTTAATTAGTTAATGTAGTGTTCACACTTAACTTATATCAACGTAATATAAGACTTCATACAATATTTCATATAATATAAGTTTCATTTCAACAAATTCGTAGTGTTTTATCGGTCAGCTTAACAACATAGATGATAAATACCACTAATTATAAAAATTATTAGATAAAGCTTTATATATGTATGCAAATATACAGGGTGTACCAAAATTCAACGACAATAATGTATCAGAACTAAAATTGTTATATGCAGTTTGAAGATTATGAACTTTTAAGTACATCCTAGAGCTTTGGTCAAACCATGCTCATTTTTCGATTGTAGTGGTTTATTATTAATAATTATGTTCATTTAAGCTTTCGAAACTCAACCGTATATAATATTTCTGAAATCGCAGTTAAAAATAATGACACAAATGCGACAATTTTTTCTAGAATTAAAGCTATTTGTTGAACTATAATTTGAGAGGCAGTTCTTTAAACAAAACGATTGGAAGTTTTTTAGTAATTTCAATTAAAATACTGGTATTTAGTCAGAATTGCTTAGTTTCATTCTAGAAAATGAGTGAAAAGTAAAACCTTGAAAGTAACACTACCTAACGCTGTTTAAAAGTTATGAGCTTTTACGTACATCCTAGAGCTGTTGACAAACTCTGACCATTTTTTGATTACTGTGGTATTTATTATTTTTGTTTGACTAACTGTGATATTGTTTTTGTTCTAATTACTGTGGTATTTATTATTTTTTGAATAACATTTTTAGGGTCACAGTCAAAAATAATGACACAATTGTCCAAATTTTGAAAACAATGAATTGAAAATTTTCAAAACTCGTCGACTTTGACACGCCGTCTTTTTAATAAAAGTACAAAAAAGTTCTTTGACTACTTCTTTTGAAAGATCACAAATTTATTCAGGAATGCTTAATAGTCTCATGCAAAAAACAGTAATTCTATTCGTTAAACTGTGAAATTAAAATTTTCAAAATTGGTCGACATTAAAAAGACGTCTTTTAAAGAAACGCACTAAAATGCTTTGACAACTTTCATCAAAAGTACAGGCCTTTAATCAGGATTGTTAAATGATACAAAACTTCTTAGTTTGATGCTAAGAAACGAGTACAAAAATATAAACTAAAAATAACACTAATTTTGTTTGATAACACATTTTATTCACAATCTGTCCAAATATTTATGTTTTGCTCATTGAGTTTCTATGAAAACAGAACAAACATGAGCTGACTGAATGCTGAATGATTAAAATACTTTAGCAAATATGAGGTTATTTTTAGATTTTTATTTTGTGCTTGTATTTATATAATACATATAACTGTATATACACAACCGTAATGTAATACCATAGGAAATATGATTGATTTTCTTTTAGATAATGTTTGCTTAAACCTGTTATTTATATGATGCATTTATAAAGTATTTTAACCCTTTCCACTCGAATGCCACCGCTCCGGCGGCGAAATACGTATGAATTCTGCATTTAACGAGTGGAAAGAGTTAAAGCATATCTGACAACATACAAAAAAGTTTACACAAAAAAACACTATAACCGATATTTTCAAATATTGTTATCCTATATTTATTACTTACATCAACATTGATTCCTGGAAGCCCGAAAACCTGTGCCGGGGGCATATCGCGTGGAACATACCGATAAAACTCGTGTCCATCCTTGTACCACTTAACCGAGTACAGTGCCTCCCCGTCTAGGTCGTAGTGACATTCCAATCTGGGCGATGAGTCCCTTATTACGTGGCTCGGTATCCTTACTTCGGTCAGACGTAACGCCAGCGTCGCTGCAATGACAAATCGGATGTGAAAAAATGCATTAGATTAGTCGATGCAGTAAGAAAAAAGATGCATTGAGAAATGAGAGTCTCGTCTTACTGACGGAACCGAGATGGTTTACCCGGATTGATCTATAAGTTTGAAACGATCGAGTCAGATGAATGACTCAGTTTCATGAACAAATGACTCTAGTTGTCGCAAGATGGGACGAGATTTCAGATAGGAGTTGGGAGTAAGTGAGTGGTTAGATTAGAAATGGAATATGTTAGTGACAAATGCTATACATAAACTGGGGACAAATATTTTTAAATTTTATCACCAATATCACATGAGAAATATTCCTTTTTTCTTACTGTGCATTTGCCTTTGCATGTTCATATTAAATCAGTTTAAATACTAAAATCTATTAAAACTAGCTGTGAGTGGAATTCTGTCTTGAGGCAATTCCCGTACCGCAATTCAAAATTCGAGTAATTAAAAATAATCAATAAAAGTTGATCAATAATTTGAAACTTTTAATAGAATTTCGAACCATATTGAATCATCTTAAATAATTCTATCTTAAATCGTTTATTTAGAAATATTTTGGAAATTCTGAACTTTTTTTCAAAGCAATCGTACTGCTTTAACTGCATAAAGACGAAATATCGAAGCGCGTAAGCGCCGCGTAGCCGTCTAACGCCTAAACATTGGTACAGAACCCTACCCCAGAAATGGCTCATTTTTTTACTTTTTCCTCCATATCTCCGAAGTCGTTGCACCTGCCTTTTTAAAAATTTGAACAGTTCTTCACTCAGTTAATACAAATAAAATATTTTTTGAATTATTCTAAGCGGACGATACGTTCTCTTAAAAACAGAGTTACCGTTTTTGGCACTTTTTGCCCCGTATCTTCGGAACGGCTAACTCTGCCTTCGCCAAAAACTAATCAGCACGTCTCCTTATCAATACGAATCGAATGTTTTTTGAATTATTCAAATCGCTTCATCCGTGTTCCCGAACTTGTCGACGAAAATTTGTATCCGAACACACACACACACGCACACACACGCACACACACACATACATCCATTTTTTCTAAGGTATGACAATGAAATCTAAAGATGTATAAAAATTTTTATTTTCGATTTTTTTGCGATTAATATAACTTACCCTACGGGAAGTTAAAAAGATCAAGCATCACTTTTGCATATATAATTGTTAAATTGAAGCACTTTTATAATAAAATTATAATCAAATACAAAACTATAATATAGAATTTCAACAAATATTTTTTGGCTGTAGAAATGAACTATTTGCTGTATTTGAAAGCATCATTTTGAAGAATACTGAACTGGTGAAAACAGATGAAAATGGATATAATTGGAACTATATTATAGAAATCCGAGAAATATATTTTGGATTTGGAAATGAATATGCTGTATTTAAAGCAATATCTTGAAGTTCTAGTAACTGAATTGTGAGAACAGACAAAATTGGATTTTAGGATGCTACATTAGGAGAAGGGCTTCATACAGATTACAAACATGGTCTCTACTAGAAATCCTTGAAATATACCTGGAATGTTACTGTACAATAATGTACTAGAGCAAAATGAAGAAAATTGAATTATGACAAAAAATATAATCTAATAATAATAAAATATAAAAATAGAATCAATCATTGAGAAAATATATGCTTCAAGGATCTTTTAAATTCAAAATGTAAAAATATTTTTACCAACAGTTTATTTCCAAAGTATATATACAAATGTTAATTTTTCAGAATTATCTCCAGTTCTATTATATTTCCAATTGTCTACCATAATACACTAGTATTATGTACTTTTTAGGATGTATCGTGAATAGTATTGGGCAGGTTTCATTATTCACTCAGCCATTTAAATATTGAATACCATCTTTACTTATAAACGAAGCTGCGAATATTCCACAAGTTTTTTCATAATACATACCAGATCAGTTTTTGTACCTAAAAATCCCTACACATTCTCTAGAATTCATACATATAGAATTACAAAATTGAATTATCCTACACGCAAAACAAAACATTCAATTCTCCTGTTTACGTTTCTAGTATGTTGCGTTGAATAAAAATAAAATGGCAAAACTCACAATTATTTCAGCGTGCGTATTCATTTTTTATGAATAATTTGAAACATCTGTGAAAAGCGAACAACAAAAAGAGAAATGGTGAGTGTGGAACATCATAACGCTGGACGTGTGACTGCATTAAAAAATTACACAGAGGATGTAATCTGATGAATTAATTATTCTTTTTGGCATAAAAAGGTTGTTAAACTTTCTAAGGTAAATAATAGTTAATAATGTAATCGAGGTCACCTGCCTAGGGCTGGTTGATGTCGAGCAGTAGTGGCATCGATTGCTACTTAGAAATATGGATAAAAATATGTGCAAATAGGATGCCAAATGCAAATAACCCTAACTCAGCATTTCTGAATCAAAATCATATATGACATTTGTTAGAGTTGACATCTATAAAACTGACTTGGTTGGGTATAACCATCATAAAAGCTTTTAGGACTTTATGTTCTAATAATCTAAAAAAATATTAGTAGATATAAATCACCATCAATAGTTCTACATGTTCTTACTTTTAGAGAATAATGTGTAAACAAATTAATGATGTTGAAATACATTATTTTAAAGCTGATAATTTGATGGATTTGATAATAATATGTCTAATGATCATTTTTGACCGCCAAATGGCATTTTTTTTTACTTTTTTCACTAGATCTCCGAAACCGCTAGACCTGCCTTCATGAAAATTTGATCAATTCTTCATCTTGTCAATACAAGTAAAATGGTTTTTTGAATTATTAAAATCGGACGCTCCGTTCTCTTAAAAACCGAGTTACTCTTTTTGGCACTTTTTGCCCCGTATCTTCGAAATGGCTAGACCTGCCTTTGCCAAAAACTAATCAGCACGTCTCCTTATCAATACAAATCAAATGTATTTTGAATTATTCAAATCGCTTCATCCGTGTTACCGAAATCGTCGACGAAAATTTGTATCCGCACACACATACATACACGCACACACACAGACACACATACATCCATTTTTTCTAAGGTATGCCAAAATATTCAGAAGGTTTTAAAACGTAAAGATATATAAAAATTTTCATTTTCGATTTTTTTGCGATTACTATAACTTGCCCTACGGGAAGTTAATAACCCTTAACCAGCATTTCTGAATCAAACAATCATCAATATCACATAAATAGTAATAGTAAAATTTTAAAATTGTAAGTGCTATCTATAAAATGAACAAAGTTAGTTAGGTCTAATCATAAAAACAACTTATAGAACTCTCTTGTTGTGAGGCAAAAATAGATTTACAAGTAGGTACTAGTACAAAAAAATAAAATAAAACGTTAAAATATCCCCGTGAATACATGGGGTTCCTTTACCATTTGAACATCTGCACCAGTTGCAATACCATTTGATTCAGTTGATCGTTCAACTCCCTTTATCACTGCCAGGCTTTATACGTATTTTCGTTGTTCTAGATTCGATCAAAACTCACTCAAGCCTTAAAATCGCAGTCCATACATCCATTGGCACATCATGCCTGCAATCAGATATACTCCGTAGGTTATAAATTAAAATCACGGCCGCAAAATCCACATTAATTTCATCACGATGTTTTGGGATACAACAAAAGGGACATACAGCAACGAGTTCATTTATAACCGTGGCGGCGTCGAGGTAAAAAGCTTTGGTTCCCGGCACGACATCGCGGATGCCGAAATGGAATTCGATCGGGGATTTTCTTTCCGGGTGTTTTCCAAGTTTCCGGGTTCCTGGGTTCCGGCCGCTCTATATATCCTAATGAGCGGTCGGTGGGAGCAATGGACCGCGCCAGCAATTTCGGCAATTATAAATCACAGCGGCCGGTCAGAGGTGGGCATATAGCATATATATCGGGGCCAAAACACACACACAAGAAACAGTAGGCACAGGTATGTAGGAATTGATATGTTGAATGAGGTTCTCAAGAGTAAGAGGAAAAATCTATATTTGTAAATAAAAAAAAATCATCTATTTCACTTTTTTATTTTACTTAGAAAACAATATTATTAAGAAGGTCAAACCAAAAACTATAGAATTTAGTTCAACAATGTATGACTGTATAAGCGAATATATAAACACCTTCATATTCTTCACATTGACAGACTGGTTTCGAAATTATTCAATAAATTTTATTATATAGTGGTAGTTGAAGTAAAATAGATAAATACATAAAAAAACAAAATGATATTATTGCTCAGTTAAACTTACTGCAATTTTAGAAAAAATGATCATTTGTTTATACTATATTTAGGTAATTTAGGTCATTTTCATATTCGGTATAATGAATAAATATGGTGCGTTCTATAAAAATGTATGTATAATTATTAAAAAAACTACAAAATGTTATTAACGGTTCCTAGATACTAAATATTTGTACTGAATACTAGTATATGTGTGAGTGAACATTTATTTAAATTTAATTTTTTTCACCATATAAATAACAACTGTCATTATTGAACATTTAGACATATTTAATATTTAATTTAATTTTTAAATATATTTTATGTAAATCTGCAATCGAGTAAAATAAATCAAATATAAGGAACCCATTGTACTATATGCTTTTCAGTTGAGAATAACATGATTTATGACTGGCATTTAGAAACTAATTACAACTATATATTTAATTTATATATAAAATTTTAAAACATAATTAGCTTTTCGAATGCTAATAGATTAAGTTTCTGCAAATATGTACGTAAATTAAAATAATTTGAAATAAATTTTCTAAAAATGAGAGATCCTGAACTGGCGATAAAAAAGCAACTTCCTCCAAAAATATTACATTAAGTAAATCTAAAAACAAGAAATAAGATAAATTTTCTAAATTTCATAAATGATGTATAATACAGAAATGACAATAAAGAAGAAGTAGCCGAAGTTCTACTTCAAATACAAAATCAAATTGAGCAAGG